TCTTACCTACCTACAAGAAAGTTTTCTTGAGGCCTCCAAAGGGTCAAGAAATGCTTTCAACACATGCAGTGGACTACATGTGCAATTACATGTTTATTTGTGTGGCATTTTGAATAATTGATATCCATTTTGTTTACCAAGTGGTAATATCTAAGAGGACAGAATTCTCACGTATCTCTCCATGCTTAGTATATTATTAAATGGTTAGGAAATGTTTTCTGAATAAGTAAATAGAAATTAACATACCAAGTGCTCATCACAGATCCATCCCAAAAGCTAACTATGAAAGGAGTATGACATCCTATAGATCCCTCATCTATTAGACTATCTGACTTTGGCCACTCCTACCCCCAGTCTTCACACTGAGGCCCCCACAAGGCACCCACAGATCTCAGAGGGCCCTGTACTTTCCTAACTCCAGTATTTTGTACCTGACTTTTCCTTTTACTGGAAGGTAACCTTTGTTTTCAGTCTCTCCTCCATATCACCCTGATTTCTACCTCACTTAACTCTCTAACAAGGTACTTCCTCCTTCCCCATCCCCGGTGTTTGAACTGAGCACTCCAATCTGTTTTCCAGTTTGCACCTGCACATAACTGCACATATCCTGGGATGTTCCTGTCTATCTAGGGGACAGCAGTGAGGTGTGGTTTGTAAGGCAAGGGCTTTTAAGCAGCCATGATCTTGACTTTTTTCCCCAAATCATACCAAACCTAGACTTTATCTATGACATAATTTTAACACAGAGTCATTCATGCAGCTCTCTCCTCCAGCTGCATCCAAGAGACAATTTAGGAAGTGGGTGGAGAAACATTCAGGGAAATAGGAGACCTACATACTGTGATAACTCAGATATCAAAGGTGAATGCGGCTGAGATCATCATAGAGGCATTTGCTATTCTTCTCTGTGAGAGTTTCCATTACACAAACACAAAAATAATTTTTTTCTTGAGCTTTTTCTAGATCTGGAGATGTGTGACTTTTAAAATTTTTTTATTTTAAAGAGAATTTAAAAAACAATAACAAAATAACATAGACAAAAATAAGGCAAAAACAAAAATGATATACGTTTTCAAAACAAAATGATAGGAATTAACTTGCTGAGAGGAACAGTTAATGCTTAATTTTTTTGACCAATTCTGCATGCTTATATCTAGTAATCTGAACAACTAATTTGAAGACAACAATATGCAATATAAGAACCATTGCTGAATTTCTACTATCTTGATTAGTGAAGCGCTGTATCATTTCTAATGTTTTTTTATTATTTTTTATTCTCTTTAATTGTTTGATCCATTCTTGCATCTTACATCTGGTAATCTGAGCAACTTCACTGAAGATGGGTAATTCTTGAGTAGCAATGAAGTGTCAGTCACAAGGTTATTACTAAATTTTAAATATCATTAAATTTTAAAAATAAGACATATTGAAGTGTGAATAAAAGCACACATAAAAATAATTTAGAACAAAAGCAAAACTTAACAGTTCAAATATCTGTTCAGCATTAACATATAGTACTAAAAATCACTATGAGAAATGAGTACAAATGCATATGATATGTTAAAGCATTAAAAATGATTATGATGTGTTAAACCTTAAAAACAGGACAGTATATAATTGAATAATGTAAAATAAAAAATAAAAACCTACAAAAATACATTAGAAACAGCATTATAAGTAATTATTTTTATATTTAACCAAACAGATATTTCTCATATAGTTACAGCATTTCTTTCTTTTTATACAGTACAATCTAGTTTTTTTCCTAAATACCAACACATAGACAAATATAGAGTTAAAAATAAGATTATAAAAAAAGGAACATTGCATGAAAAATTAACAGAAACTTTTAAATTTGTTTTTTAGGATTTTTCCTCATTGAGTTTTTAGTAAATTCTAAGTAGAAAAATAATAGAAGTGCATTGTACTTTTAAATGCAATACAGTAATGAAATGTGCCAACTAAAATTCACTAAAGAAATATCAGTGTTGAACAAAACTTTTGAACAAATGGACCTAGTAGATATCTACAGAATGTTCCCCCTAACAACAACAGAATACAATTTTTCTCAACAGAGCATAGAATTTTCTCTAAAATAGACTACATACCAGTCCATAAAGCATGCTTAAATAAATACAAAAGAATCAGAATTATCCTATGCATATCATCAGATTATAGCACAATGAAACTAAAACTCAATGGCAAAACTACTAAAATTATGCAAACACATGGAGATTAAATGACAAACTCTTTAGTAATCAGTAAGTCAGAGAAGAAATCAAGGAAGAAATGAGACAATTCTTAGAATCAAACAACAATGCTAGTACACATACTAGAACCTATGGGACAAAATGAAAGCAATCCTAAAGAAGAAATTTTAGAGCTAGGAATGTCCACATCAGAAAAACAAGGAACCAAAATAAGTAACCTAATGATGTACTGCAAGATCCTAAAGAAAAAAGAACAATCCAAAACTAGGAAGGAGGAAAATTACAAGGAAGATAATATAAATATCATAGAACAAATTAATGAAATTGACTCTAATTATACCATTTCTACTATTTTAAAATAATATAACCCATGATGGTGCATGTTTATAATCCTAACCACTTGAGAGGCAGAGCAAGAAGATAACAAGTTCAAGGACAGCTCGTGAAATATAGTAAGATCCAATGTCTAAATAAAAAGCACTAAGGATAAAGCCCAGTGGTAAGTTATCCCTGGGTTCAAATCTCAGAATGCCCCCAAAATAAGTATATTATAATATAATATAATATAATATAATATAATATAATATAATATAATATAATATATACAAAACTGACAGAATAAACAGAGAAACCAAAAAGCTATAGGGTAGTTTACGACAATATGTGTCCACTGTGAAAATGTATTCATAAAAATAATGAGACAGCAGTTAAGTTCTCAGCAAACAGCGTTTATCCTGCAGAAATTTTTAGATAATTTGCTTATCTGTATGTATGATAATATATAATTATATATTCATATAATATGTATATAATTTTAGCTATAGTATCAAAATAAATGTTAAAAATTAAAGTGCCTTTCTTTCAGTATTTATGGTGAAGTGGTATCATTCAAAACCCTAACCCCAGGAATCTTACATCATTTCTGTCTCTTTAATTTTCCTTTTCTGTGTAACTAGTAGAAGTCATATACATTTCTCTTGAAGGTCAAGTTGTACAACCCTATAAGTGATATTTTCTTGGAAGTGTAATTTCCTTTTTCTTCTGTTGATGAACTCCCACTTTCAAATAGCAATTTTTAAGAAATAGCTGAGTATAGTATCCAGTGTAGGCCGTATAATCTGTTCCATTGTTATTTAAAATCCTGAGGGATTTGTTTTATCATCTCCATTTCACAGATGAGGATACTGAGGCTCTGTGAGGCCATTAAGTAGTAAGTGGTGAGGTGGGGACTGAAGAATGGGACCGCAAGAGGCAAAAGCTTTCTCTTTCTCCATTCTTGCACCAGATACCTTTTGGGGATATTGAATACTTGGTGATAGCTGCTGCTTAGACTCTGAAGGATATCATGACGCTGTTAGTTCTGACTTTTATTGCTAAGAAAAAAAAGTATGTAAAACTCTCCAGAAAAGGTCAGTGGTAATCTCCATGTTGTTGGTCTTGCAGTCACTTAAATGAATATTTCTACATACAAAGCACTACTCTTGGAGTTCTGGATGTTGTAGACAATAACATATGGTTATTGCTCTCTGGGGCCTAATAAACACTTTGGAGAGAAAAGCCTACAGTGTGTGAGAGAAGCAAACACTGGTGTTTTCTGGCAGCAAGCAACACAACTGGCTCAGGCCAATTTCAGCTGATTTTTTTTGCTTTTAGAAGCAAAGTTGTGTAAGTTAGAAACCTGAAGGAGAAATCATATAGCCAGGCTTTATGATGGACAGACACAGAGAAGCTTTGAAAGTCTAACTGCAATGCTGTACTACATAACAATTTTTCGTAACTTTCTATGTGCCTGGCCCTCTTCTAAATGATCTCCTCATATCCACATCTTTAATCCACAGGACAATGTAGTAAGGTGGGTGCTCTCATTAATACTTCCATGTAACTAGAGAAAATTGAGACAGAGAGAGGATAAGTAACTGGTCCGTGACACCACTATATTAACAGTGGCTGGATTCCAAAATGTTTTCATTTTGTAACACTTTCCTCAAAATTCAGGACCTGATTTAGGTCATGTCCCTGACTACCCAAGAGATAGACAATTCCTAAGCAAGTGATGACACTAGAAGAAATTGGATAAACAAAAATAACAAATGTTCCCTGTACTGTGGAGATAATAAAATCAGACTGCAGTGAAGGAGAACAGTTTCATGTATCAGCTATGTTAAAAGCTTTAAAGTTTAAAGTTGTTACCACTTTTTGCAGGGCACTAGACCAAGAAAAATTGGAACCAATTATTTAAGTGCTAAAGTAAGTTGACCTAGCTCCTCAGTGACTGCAAAATGTCATGTAGACACTTCCCTAGGAAAAGGACAGAACAAGATCCTAGGATGGGAAATTCCATCGGTGACACTGACAGGTACTAACAGTTATCTGGGAAGTATTCTGTTTGTCAAGGTCCTGACTGGCTCCTTAAATGTCAGGGGTAAAATGGTCCAAAATGTGCAAAAGTGGAGGAAACACATGTATCAGTATGGTGAAATCCCTTAATTTAATAGCATTGTTTCTCTGATAGGACCTCATCTCCTCCCTGTCACTCTCTCAAATTTATCCCAATCACATCCTTCAATCCTGGCTTCCCTCGTTGAAGGAGTCAACTTCGATAAGTCATCACCTGTTTATTAAACAAACACCTATTATGCCCATTCTACATGAGTTACAGACACGGTTGGTGCCCTTACTGAACAGGTCATCTGGGTGGGAACAGAGAGAGTAACAGGACATTATGACGCTGTGTCTGACCTGGATGATGAGGATGGAGGTGAGTGTCATAAAAGCACATTGGAGGACCACCTGATGGTGCCTTGGGGTCATTAGCAAAGGCCCACTGAGGGAAGTGACTTTTGAGAGGTAAACTTGAAGAAAAGAAGTCAAGGAGCAGGGGTAGAAAAAGTGCATCAGGCAGAGAGGGTGCCTGGGGTTAAAGCCAGGCAAGGGAATCACATCCTGTAGCAAGAGGAAGGCAAGGAGAAAGATACAGTGTTGTCAGATACTTTAATCTGCTTGGGATAAGGAATAAAACAGGTCCAGATCTACTTGTCATAGCACCATCAGATGAAGGTGAATGTTCGAGATGATTCAAAGTGAGTGAGACTCCATCTTAGGAGTGAGAACCTCAAAGACTTTCTCAAGAGAAGTTTTTTGTGTGAGTGTGAATACTGGATGTTGAACCTAGGGCGTTTGCACTGAGCTACCTTCCCAGCTCTTTATTTTTTATTTTGAGGCAGGGTCCTACTGAATCATTAACTTGTTCAAACATTCATTCCCAAGAGTGCCGGGATTACAGGTATGCACCCCAACATCCAGCTAAAAGATCATTTTAAATGCAATTTGAAGGTCATCTAGTTCCAACCAGCAGAGGCACGTTTACGGGCAGTAGGCAGAGGGAAGTCAAGGCTGACTCTCTGTCCTATTTCCTCTTGCCAAGTGTCACCTTCCCAGGTTTATGTCCCCCAGCCCCCTACACTGTTGCTAATGCTTAGTCATTCTTCAAAATTCATGTGTGTACCTTTTCTGCAAAATGTCCAAGTTGACAGATGTGGAAATGAGTGCTTTTTTCTGTGTACTAAAGCTATTGTCGCATTCATTTTGTTTTGTTTTGTTTTCTCCTGGTTTAGCATAATTCCGAGGACATGCTATGATAAATCTAATGATGTTGTCTAATGACTCTGATGAACGAATTAGTTAATCTGTGAGTTGAGCAGCTGGTCTGTCACAGTGGTCCTGAGGGAAGTTCTGGGGTCAGACTATTTGGATTCATATTCTTGTTGTCCTATGTTCTTGATGTGTAATCATGGGCCAATTATTTCACCATCAGCTTCTTTCTTTGTAAGACAGAGATGACAACAAACTCTCTTCTGGGCTTCTTAGAAGGTAAAATGTGAGTTATTCAGCAGAGTTCTTGGCATGTAAGCATGAAATATACGTTACTTATTGGTAAAATTGATATTATAGTATCTTCTCTCTCACACTAGGCATGTAAGTGAGTGCAACAATATGGGGAAAACACACTAAAATTGGAAACAGTATGAAAAAGCCTTCAAAAAAAGGCAGAATCTTCTTTGACTTAATGAAAAAGGATCACAATGTGTACAAAGCAGAAGAGTCAAGCCTATTCCGCAGCCTGCTCTGTTTGTGGACAGCTCTGTGAGACAATCTGCTCTTAGGAGGAGAAGCTAATGTGCTTCCTGAAATTTATAATGAGACTGCCAGAGATCTCAAGGAGGGTTAGGAAATTTTTGCAAAATTCCAGAGAGAGACAGAGAGAGAGAGAGAGACCTCTCCCTGTTCCCTTTAATACTACAGTCTCCTGCAGGCCTCAGTCCTCCTCATGGTGTGCTCACATAATTCTTTTCCTTGGATCACCCCTCCTTAATTTCCTTACATCTGTCCCCTTCCCTCCTGCCTTCTCTAAAACATCTAAGAGAAACACCATTGCCATAGCTCATTCACCTACAAGTAGTAGTAAACAGTGTGATTAAATGTTTGGTTCTTTTATTCACTAAATATTTATTCAAATATTTATGGAAAGGCTGTATTTGTTCCATGTGTAAGGTACTTAAAATGAAAAGTCCCACTCTGGTAGATAATTTTATTTCAAAGACTGTAGCCAATTAATTTAGTTCAGATGTCATGTCACACTGTACAGAAGGGATGCATTGGGAAACCTCAGAAACAGATAATCTCATACTTCTCTTATAGTCAGATATAATACTAATAACAGTTTCCATATTTCATAACTGCTTCTAGCAACAGTCAGGATATCTAGATGGGAAAAATATATCAGCACAGTAAACATGCCATATGGTTATTACCTACCATATGTTTAACTCTTAAGATTTGTGTGGTTTTTGGTACAAGTGTATAATGTGGTAGTTAACCATATAGTCTCAAGACTCACACATTTTGGGGCTCAAACTCAAGATTCACGCTTATTAGCAATATGACACAGTGAATATTAGCTGCCTTCTAGTGCTAATTTTGAAATGTCTCTAAAGAATATTTTTTACAGGTGGATTGTTGAATACTTTACAATCTGTTGTAAGGACAAAGAGAAGAACACCAAGGAGCTTTCTTCTGAAGATACAAATTAGTCATTCACCTATCTTCTTCCTTTTCCCACCAACCCAGATCATATAAGTGTCTAGGGTTGTGGACAAATAAGAATAAACAATAGCTGTGAAATTACTTCATCAATCCTCTTGATTTCCATTTTAGTACTGTCATTTTACTTTAGGTTAATGAGAATTTACTTGTTTTTACTTTAGGTAGCGATTTAATTTTTACTATTTCTAACTAACTTAATAAACTGAAATGTGTTGACCAATAAAAAAAAGTTAGCTTTACCGAATACGATATAAATTGTGAATTCAAGGAGAAAGTCACATGAACCATTGACCTGGCTTTCTGCACATTGAATGAGTCAGGTGACTCAGTTTTTTACTATCCCCCTGACCACAGAGACATCCTGCTGACATTTCTTGGTATTACAGTAGACTATGTCAAAATAATGCATACACAAAGAAGTCATCTTATAAATTTCCTAAACAAACTTTGGAAATCTAAGACTGACATGCATATTTACAGCCAGCAAATCTGTTAAAAGCATAATGCATTTGAATTCAAACTGTATAACTGGTTTAGAAACATACACGTATGTCCTCATTCAGTAGCCATTAAGTAAAAATCCTATTAAGAAAAAAAGGGAATTCTGAAAAATGGGGCATGGTATGTAGTGATGCTTTGCCCCAAAGCACATTTGAATCTCAGGAGGCACCATTTTGTTGGACCATATTTGTATGCGCAGCTAATGTTCCACTATATGTAAGGTAATCGATTTCCTACTACCTGTGTTTTTTTTCTTTTTCACTATCCTTACACAAAAGTCTTTGTAAATAATAAATACAATTCCTAAAGTATAACAAATTATCTCTTTAAGATCTGTTTTAGATTTGAACATTTTTGGTAATATTATCTGCTCAGTAACAGATTATGAAAATTATTTTTCATTAATTTGTTTTAGTGAGTTATGTTGTTAGGGTTCTCCAGTATTATAAATTCATATGAGTATAGTTATGGTTAGTAGCTATTATTGTTTTAGTTTCTCTAAATTGTTTTACCTTTCTTCAACATTTCTTGAATAAAGCATTTTCAGAAAGGGTTAGGTACATGATTTTTGCTGCAAACTGTGAATTTTGTATAAATATTATGTGAGTCCATCTTACTATGGGATATACTAATAAAAATATAATGGACTTTTAAGTTCTAATAGATATTGCTTTAGTATAAAATAGTGCAGTTGTTATATCAGCTTGTTATAGATTCTGTGATTTCAGAAATGATATGCTTGAAATTGGAAAAAGTAATTACATGGTAAAATGTTAATAAAAACATGTTTCCATAATAAAATTAATGTCCTATCTGCTTTTCTTCTGAAATGCATGCATATTTGGGTTCTAACATTTCATGTTGGTGATAGTTTTTAAAATTTCAATCTGCATTCCAGGATGTTGATTTTTTAACAAATGATATATCAAATTAAACTATAAATTATGTTATGATTATTAAATCATAACATACAAATAAAAATGTTAAAAAGTTAAGTATTCACATAGAAGTGATGAAGTGATAATGATAATGTTCATTGAAATAATAATGTTCATTGGCTATCTTTTCATGAAAATTCTATAAAAGGAGTTAAAAACAACTAAACCTATATATTTATACCTTAACAATGCTTTTCTACTGAAACAAGGCCAAGTGACTTTTTCTCATTGCTTTGTTGTGATTCTGTATTTTTAAAGTTTAGTGATTATTCCTCCCTCAAAGAATATTGATAAAGTGTTACAACATGCATATATATATATATATATATATATATATATATATATACACACACACACATACATACACACACAGATGGGTCAAAACTGTAACTTATGACTAGTCATATCTTGGTACTAGAGCCCTCTATTATAAATCAGAAGAATGTTAAGCTTTAGGCAAGCCACTTACCTTCTCTATTAACCCTTAGTATTTTTCTCATTTATAAACTGATCCTATAGAAAAACTCAAAGGAAATGGATACAGAATTGTTCAAGATACACATATGTTAATTTTACATGAATATAGAAGCAGATTTTTAACATCTTGTTTATTTTGAGGGTCATGTTCTGTACAAATCTCTTTAGCATTTTCATACCGAGCAAAGAGTCATGGTCTTTTTTGCATATTTGCAGATTTGACTCAGTAATGTTAAAGAGTTGGGAAATTCCTTCCATACAAAAGGCAGGCTAACAATGCATGATGAAAACTTGATCCTCACTTGCTGAATAACACAAGGGAGTGACCATCATTGTCCTTCCTTGACTTGGGTGAAAATAAACATGAACTTGAAAGAACATCCCCTCCCCTCTTCCGTGAAGACCCTTCAGTTCCCATGATAAGTCACTTACAGAGATATAAGGAACATTAGTTTGGAAGAATCTATGCCCTTAATACACACACTGGAGCCAGAAGGTAGGTTTGAGTTGGTTACACCAGTGCTATGTACAGTATTCTCAGAAGTGACATGCTTCAATTCAAAAAATTATTATTATTTAATCAGAGTCACTGATTTTGAGAAACTTATCTTTATATTATCATTGTCCATTAATTATGTAAAAATGCCAAACATTTAACATTGACATACACTGCTTCAATACAGTGGAAAATTGAGAGAAACAAAATGTAAAACAACATAACTATATTTGACATATTTAATAGTCTTACACAGGACTTTAACTTTTCCACTGATATAGCAGCACTGAAACTTACTTATATAAATATACATATTTTGTATATCTGACACTCAAGGACAATTTTAAAAGTGTAAATTTACCATTTGGTCATTCCAGGAAACAAATTTTATTCCTTTTAGATACAAAAGGTGGTCAAACAAAGCTAATACATGCCATTTTCATCTATCATTTATGTTTTTCCTTTTGTTTCTTCTTTTGAATGCGTGTAACAGACAAGTTGGAAGAGTTCTTGTTGGTTTGGTGACGAGTTTGAATACACACCTAATTAAAAAAAAATAACAATCAGCAAGCTCAGAATAGCATTGTCACCAAACAATAAATAATGCTTTCCTCTAAAATATCACTTGAAGATGAATACATTTCGGGAGTTGAAAGGTGGCGGTGCACCTGCGGCACGAACCTTAAATGAAAAATAAAGACAACTGGGGTGCAGGGTGCCTTTCCCTCTTCAAAATAAAATGCTTTACAGCACACAAGACAAATGGCACAAAAGTGAAAGGGCAGTGCTGCAGATTGGATAGGCTTACAGCGTAATTGAATTAAGGCTTGTGTGCCACATATGACCACAAAGCAGGCCAATGGCTCGGGCTGCTGAATGGAGGTGGCCGGCCTGTCAATAAAGACCCTTTAAACTGGTTAAATGCATCATAAGCGTGTGCAGAGCTTTCTCGCTAACAGGTGGCTGAGTAAACCTCAGCTGGTGCCACACAGGGCTGTCGCATTGACCTTCTTTAGGATAATTTCAGCCCTCTTTTTCAAAAAAAATTTGTTACTGTACTTGCTGTGGTGGAAACAATTTAGGGATGAATAATTTCTTTTGGTCCCTAGAGGAATGGTGGCTCTCTCTCTCTCTCTCTCTCCCCCTCTTCCTTTTTTTCTTGTACTCTCTCTCTCCCCCTCTTTTTCTCGGTTTTACTACTGAATTAACATAAAGGAACAGTGACAACAGCAAGCTGAAAAGCATAGCTGGTGGGAGGATTAAGTATATCATTGAAAGGAATTATGTTGTAAATGACTGGGAGGGGTAGGGGCTTCTGTTCCTTGGTCCCATCTGGTCCTTAAAGAATACCTTGTTGTAATTGCCCCCAGATGGTTTGTGCTACACTGGGGTCTGGACAGCCAGGTGCCACTGTGCCCTGCTGGGTGTGATATTCATTGCTACATGCAGTGACAAAAATGGACTTTATTGAAACCTAATTTCTTCCAGGGTATTACACAAATATGAAATGAACCTAGCTCATCGAGCTTTGTTTGTCTCCAAGCCGAAACGATCTCACCTAAGATAAGGCTGCTTGGTTATTTTACTTTTAACTGCTATCCTAAAAGGAAGAAGCAAAAACAATTCACAATGTGCGCTAGATTTAATTCAATATCTTTCAATAATAGAAATAGTCAATGGCAATGGCAGCATTTTATTTCTTGCTGCTAGGTGGTTTTCAAGTAACATTTAACTATGCTTTTTAAGACTGGGTTTGGAGCATTTTATCATTGAAATTAAAAAGAAATAAAGTGAGTTACAGTACAACCAAACCAAAAACACACTGTATTAGTGAGCAGATGTTTATATAATTCAAAATTTCACCAGCTAATTTAAGAAACAAGTTGTGAATATTTGCACTTTAGCATCAATATTATTATAGAAAAATAAGAAATCAAATATAAATA